CTTAGTTGCTAGCAGAAAAAAGCCGCCTCTAAAGGTTTGACCGGCTCTGTGACGACAGCATTTAGTGCTTTTCCAAGATCTACATCGGGCTGACGGTCTCCCTTGTAGGTCCCCATACGGAGCGCCTTACTTATTTTATTACTCTTGAAGGTACACTATACCCACTTGGAGGTGAGTGCAATACCAGGGTCCGAAGCCACTGTCAGTTCTATCTTTCAAACCTTTGGATTATGTTGGTTACCATGGTTACCGCGTCCTTAATTCGATCGCGTATGAAAACTCAAAGCATAGTAGTCCATTGTACTTTTTTTTGTATTAAATGCTACGCATTGTTTTTTTTTTTTTTTGTGTACAATAAAAAATCTCTCTTCTCTCTGAGATAATTTCTAACACTAGCCCTAGCAAGAGCAGTGCTTCGCTGAATCTACTACCGGATCTGAAACGCGACTCACTAAGAAGATCCGGTGAGACTCTGTGGGTAACATCGATCCAATTAATAAGCTACAGTCGAATGATTATGTTAAAAAGAGTATAATAATATATAACGTGTATTAGGAGTGCCGATTGTTTTTGTTGCATGCTCATCTGTTAATGTACATTATAATACCTAGAAAAACAACATGATACTTAGATAGATTCCCTTGGTATTTTTACAAAACTATAATACTGCTCTAGTAATACAATTATACTTGTGAAATATTAACGTTGACACTTAAATTAGGTCGTACGTTACCAAACGATCGTAAACATGGCCAATGTTTGTCAAAGATATTAAATCTGGTTCTTAATGTCCGACATAAAAGTTGTTCAAGTATCAATATTATTCGGTCCGACAATAAATCTCATTTAGTCCCACGGTAAATCGTTATTCAATAGATCAAATAAAGGAACGCTTTTGTTTTAGTGTAGAATTAAAAATCAATAAGACCTACCTAAAATCGTTAGTGTTATCTACATACACAACCATAGACTTATGAACTCAGTCAGTACAACTAGCGTACTTTATTATTCTGTATTTAAATTGTATGTTTTTTTTTTATCAAAATTAATAACGGTAACTCTGGTTGAATTTCTATAATTATTTTTATAAAAAATAAATCCGAAACATCATTCGTCCGTATGCCATAAATGTAACGTGATTTTTTTTAATTTTTAGTTTAGTCAAATTATTATTGTCTTCAAAATTGGGTAGTGTTACCACAATACGCGCTTATAGCCAGAGGGCGCCACTCATCTTTTCATAAGCATTTTATTATTTCTAACGTTTTGATCTTTTTTTTCATTTTCCGTGGTCACCGACTGACTACACGAACACGGAAACGCTCGTAAACCCGAGATAAAATCGTAAAAGTACTTTTAATTATACAATATATTTATCGTCGGACATGAATCATACTAATCCCATAATTGGGAGTCACATTGAGCTGATCTTATTTTCCTATTTAAATCCCGGTTGGTCATCATCTCAGCCCATAGCTGGGTACCGCTGATAGGCCTCCAATTGACGTCCATTTTTTATAGCCTTGAGAGGCTGTATCAGCGTAACCTTAACTAGTAGGTGAACTCACGAAGCTCAAACCTGACGACGTTGCTAACACGAGCCCTAGCAAGAGCCGTGCTTCGCAGAATCTACCACCGGATCGGAAACGCGACCCACTGAGAAGATCCGGCGAGAAACTCAGTGGGCTGTGTCTGAGGGTTAATTTACTCGTCGAGCCCTTCGTCGCAAGCGACGGGTTCGACGAGAACGATGACCGGGACGTACAGTGCGGACGGTCCGTTACCACCTGAAAATGTTAAATTAATTTTCAGGAGGTGGCACATGCAATTTCACATGGTTCTAAATTAATTACTTATCTCAACTTATATCATTTAGGCCAATAGATTCGGTCATATATGTGACAGCATTTGCCTGAGAAGAGACCAATTAGGACCTTAAGTCGCAGTACCAATAATTTCTAATTAAAGAAGACACTTAATAGAAATCCGAATCGCACCACCATGACAATGCTAATATTTTCGTTTAAATAACATTTAAGCTATCAACGATTTAGATAATATATTCATTACTTAATATATAACTAGATGATGATGGTTTTTCTTTGATAACGCCATCTTGTTGTGTCTTTAAAGCGGTTAGTTGCCCTCAATTAAGAAAAATAGTATTATTATTCGCCAATAGATGTCGGGAAGAGTTGATTATTGAAAACACGAATAAAACAACATTTTCTGAAATTAAATCGTAGCTAGATCGATTTATCGACCCCGAAATCCCCTGTATACTAAATTTTATGAAAATCGTTGGAGCTGTTTCCGAGATTCAGATTATATACATATATATTATATACAAGAATTGCTCGTTTAAAGGTATAAAATATTCAGTGTCATTCCAAAGTATTGACGTGTCCTAACAAATTCTGGTGATTAATTAAAAAGCTTCCACACAAGCTACCATGAATTAGACTAAATACAACTTTACTTACAATTAGAACATTGAGGTAGGTCTGCACGCCATGCCTTAGAATGAATACTGACAGAATAGAAATGCAGAATTAATGTAATTAAAAATATCGAATTACCAAAAAAACACAACGACAAAAAATATATAAAAACATTACAATAGTTTAAATGACAGTCCGCTACAGTTAATTTCTGTTACATTGAGTGCTATTTACATAAAATACTAGTATATTATTACACCAAAATTAAAATTTAAGTTCAAAGTAATGTGAGGCTCACACGGGTATGTACCACGCATCCGAATTCGGCTGCGAAGCAATTTTACCTTTAAATTTCTAAGCTAACAGAACAAACGTTACAGCAAATAATAAGTCGTCGTGGCCTAAAGGATAAGACGTCCGGTGTATTCGTGTTGAGCGATGCACCGGTGTTCGAATCTCAGGCGGGTACCAATCTTTCTAATGAAATACGTACTCAACAAATGTTCACGATTGACTTCCACGGTGAAGGAAAAACCTCGTGTAATAAAAATCAAACCCGATAAAAATATAATTTGCGTAATTACTGGTGGTAGGACCTCTTGAGAGTCCGCGCGTGTAGGTTAGGTACCACCACCCTTCCTATTTCTGCCGTGAAGCAGTAATGCGTTTCGGTTTGAAGGGTGGGGCAGCCGTTGTAACTATACTTGAGACCTTAGAACTTATATCTCAAGGTGGGTGGCGGATTTACGTTGTAGATGTCTGTAGGTTCCAGTAACCACTTAACACCAGGTGGGCTGTGAGCTCGTCAAACCGTCTAAGCAATAAAAAAAATCTATATAAAAATTTCTAAATTACTAAAGAACCAATCTGATGACATATTAAGAACAAATTCCAGACACTTGTGATCACTAGACAAAGACGTTTGCTATTTCATTCGTTTAACAGAGCCATTTAAATTGCAATTTCATTTCATAGTGGCATTCGACCAGTGCCGGATTAAGCAAGCACGGGACCCGTAGCAAATTATTTCAAAAAGCCCTTGATCTACTATGGGTTCTTAAGTATAAAGTGGTAAAAAAACAAATCAATAGTCTATACGTTTATTTGCCATCTATACGTTACAGCTACACAATTCTGCTACACATCCACACTGTGTCGGGTAAGAGTGCTTGCATACGTCAGACTTTTTGTAGAGCCGGTTATCAGGCCGATTGAAATTCTACACGTTTATACAAACAACTTTTTCTTAATAAGTCACTCAACAAATTAAGCTCAGGCAGAGATGAGTGGGTTTAAATATGCGGGGCCCCCGTTCGCGCGGGGCCCGTAGCAATTGCCACTCTTGCTACATGGTTAATCCGGCACTGCATGATTCGACGCATCTCGCTTGAGTTGCCAGCGGGGAACAGGACGTTTCCGATCCGTATGCACGTCATAACACACCTAATAATCACATGAAAGAATGGAAGAACGATAGTTTGATTAAACCACACCATTGTGCTTTTTTTTTTTGCTGAAACGTCTTTCAATTGTTTTCAATTTAAAATGTGCAATGGTTTTTATTATTTTCACTGTGCTGTTTCATGATCATTCATATAATGTGACCGGCAAGATGGATAAAGCGAATATCCTACCCTTATGAAATTTTGAATATGATCTTACTGATGATGTTGATTCCATGAACAAATTACCTTTGTTCATCAGATATTTCATCATATGACACCTCTGCACTCACACCCAACCCTCGCATATCTTCATTTACACAGTCCACCCGATTTTTTCCGCATTCTCGCACGCATCCTCCTGACATTACCATCTAATTTCATACTTGCATACATGCCTTGTTAGTCACGAGATTATCTTCTATTCGTATAACTTGCCTATACCACTATATCGTTCCACTCTTTATTTTGTCTATCACTGGCGCTACTTTCAGATTTCTCCTATATACTCATTTCTAATTATATCCATTCTTCTTACTCCACACAGCATTCTCAACTATCGTATTTTTGCTGCACGCATGCTTCTTTCACCCACCACCGGATCGAGTATCCCAAACATCGCCATTATATAATAATATAATAGTCCCAAGCTACAAATATCTTCTTGTGTTCTGAATAGCGAAAACTTATACGAAACAAGAACGCTAATATTGCGCTTAATATCAAATATCTCTAATAAGTCACTGACTTCGTCGGTCAATCTATTCTGGAATCTATTATACAGAACTATCATCGTGGTAGCAATGTTGAAATCGAAACATAGCAAGTTATAAATAACTATTTCTAAGTCTTGTATTGCACCACGAAGTAGAACCGATGTTACATTTCAACGGTCGCATCAACGCATCTTTGTGGGACTTTTCTATAGCAAATCGGTCCATCGCGTCAGAAATAACTAAGATTTGGGTTTATAAAGCAAAAGAGATCATTCACCATTAAGTGGACCGTATTTTGTTCTGCCTTTGTATCGAATCTCATAAATTTCATTCTGCCTTAAAATTACAGCCCGGATGTAAAGAGATAACTTTTAGTTAATACTACTGTGTTTCATCCACAGAGCAGAGAATTAACAATAGAGGTAGCAAGGCCTCTGTCGTTCAGAAAGTGAATGGATGGCGCAGTCAACGCGGAGGTATGTCCGGAATAGCATGCGCTTACTCGCTGCACATCTATGCAAATGAAAAAGTAGTTTAGAAACACGAAAACAGCACTTTTGTTAACAGGAACACACCGTTGCTACCTCTGTTTTATTCTCTACTCTATGTCGTACTAGGTTTTTGCCATTTCAACGGTGAACACGCCAATTATTGTTACCAGGCATGTGCTTGCACAGGAATTAATATTATGCTTTTCAGAGAATGGTATGTTTGTTTTATTCAGAAGCATTACTGTTTGCCAAGATTATTTTTTAATTAACTTTATTAAGCGTTTAAGGTATAGTTGGAATTTTGTTGGAACTGGATTTTTTATTGGGCATTGACTGTTTGTTTTAAAATGTAAAGGTTCTTCGATTTTTATTATTTTTAAATGCCCTTGTAAGAAAATCAGCATACCTAATTTTTTTATTCCTACCTAAGCTGATAGTCTAGATTAGTCTAGAGAGACCATGTCAGCGTCGCCGGGCTATTAGTTGAGCTCACGGGGCTCAAACCTGACGATGTTACTTACACGAACCCAAGCAAGAGCTGTGCTTCGTAGAATCTACCACCGGATCGGAAACGCGAACCACTGAGAAGATCCGGCAAGAAAATTAGTACGCTGTATCTTTGGGTTACTTTACTCGCCGAGCCCTTTGTCGCAAGCCACTGGTTTGACGAGAACGATGACCGGTATACCTCATGGTGAGTGGTTACCACATAGACATTAGCAATGCCAGGGGCTACAGCTAAATCGTTGCCTAGGTTAGGCCCTCTTCGCAAGCCTCTCTTGAAGAACGCACTCTTGGACATATCATAGCGCTCAGGAAACACCGTGGAGGGAAATTCATTTGTAAGTCGGATGGTAGGTATGTGGCAGAAAATATCTCGGAAAACGCACTGTGAATAAACGCAATATTTCTAAGCAGTAAGGATGAACTTTTACATATTTTTTTTTATTGCTTAGATAGATGGACGAGCTCACAGCCCACCTGGTGTTCAGTGGTTACTGGAGCCCATAGACATTTACAACGTAAATGCGCCACCCACCTTGAGATATAAGTTCTAAGGTCTCAAGTATAGTTACAGCGACTGCCCCACCCTTCAAACCGAAGCGCATTACTGATTCACGGCAGAAATAGGCAGGGTGGTGGTACCTACTCGCGCGGACTCACAAGAGGTCCTACCACCAGTAAAAGTATTCACATTAGTATTTATTATAATCCATTATGGAGCTGCAACTGATAACTGCGGTAAGTTTATGTACCAGTTTATGACTCTCTGTGAACGATAATGAAATAAACATCTCGTAATGTGATCTTTCTCGTGGAAAACACCTGTAATGCTTAGCTTATCGAATTGTTCCTGTACACATTAAAATCCATCTTCCGTTCGGGCAAATGATCTTGGTCCTTGTACCACAGGCTATTTGAGGCCATATATATTCAGGATGCCGTAAGGTTTAAGTGATCATGGGTCTCCGTGAAAACATTACGAATTGTATACGTTATTAGAATAAAATTGGTACTTTAATATCATACCGGTATTCTGAATACAATAAAATACATAGAAGAATGTTTGAAATGTTCATTCATATAATGCGACCGGTAATATGGATAAAGCGAATATCCTACTCTTATGACGTTTGGAATATGATCTTACTGATGATGTTGATTCCATGAACAAATTACCTTTGTTCATCAGATATTTTGACACTATAACGGCAATAAACCATAGACCTATATAGTAGGGACGCGACATACTGTTCTATACGTACAATTGCCTATACAAATAGCACCCATTTTGAAGGCACACACATAAACATATATCTATCTCGTTCTTACCCAGCACTGTAACTCGCAGGAAAACAATATAACCGTATTTCAGTGCGTACATATAATGAAACATGAATATACCTAAATACCTAATGAGGCCGAAAATCTGCCATGTCATAGATAAACAAATTTGCTACATACCAAATCTAATAAAAGTCAACAAAGACATGTTCAATCAATGTTCTTCCATCGAAGACTATCAATTGGTACATATACACGTAACCGCACTTCGTAATCAATGTACGTAGAGCTCCCATAACCGGGCCCCCGGGAAATCTTTCTGCATACACCGGATTTTTAAGCGAACGTTTGTTTCCAATGTTCAAATTGATGTTCAGCCTTGTTCAATGGGCTTGGATGTTTGTTCATCGATCAAAACGTAGTCTGTAGGGCATTGCGGATGCAATGGTGCAAAGCAGGCTACGTATTGAGGAAATACCGTCCGGTTTTTAAATGTGAAATAATTTTTATTTTTTTATTGCTTAGATGGGTGGACGAGCTCACAGCCCACCTGGTGTTAAGTGGTTACTGGAGCCCATAGACATCCACAACGTAAATGCGCCACCCAACTTGAGATATAAGTTCTAAGGCCTCAAGTATAGTTACAACGGCTGCCCCACCCTTCAAACCGAAACGCATTACTGCTTCAGAAATAGGCAGGGGGGTGGTACCCACTCGCGCGGACTCACAAGAGTTCCTACCACCAGCAAAAAAGGTAAAGTTAAGGTAAAAAAAAAGTAAAAAGGTTTAAAGGTCGTCATGTCATTAATTTCGCGGAACTGACGTGTCCTTCCACCTGTCATTGCTGATATCCATGAGCGACGCTGATCACTTATCAGTAGATGCACCGTATGCTCATCTGTCTACAAAGGCAATAAGTAAATCTTCAAACAGTTTTAGTATACAGAACTGGTTGTTCAAACGTTGTGTATCCAAGAATCCATTAGGCAGACACTCAGGTTAATGCATCGCCCAATTTATTCGCTTTCCATCGATAGTGGTTCCCTTAAGTTGAGGGTACATCACTAAAATCAATACGAATTAAAAGATACTGCACCGGTAATGTATCGTCTGGATATTTTTAGGGTTTTGGTATAACGTTGCCATTTAAGAACCATTTAAGAGCGACCTACCCTTCAAACCGAAACGCATTACTGCTTCACTGCAGAATTAGGCAGGGCGCTGGTACCTACCCGCCCGGACTCCAAGAGGTCCTACCACCAGTAATTACGCAAATTATAATTTTGCGGGTTTGATTTTTATTACACGATGTTATTCCTTCACCGTGGAACTCAATCGTGAACATTTATTAAGTACGTGTTTTATTAGAAAAATTGGTACCCATCTGCGAGATTCGAACACGGTGCATCGCTCAACACGAATGCATCGGACGTCTTATCCTTTAGGCCACGACGACTTCATATATACCCACAATTCTATACCATGTATGAACACAGTTCCATGAATCACACTGCGTCAGGACCCTGAAACTGCGATACTTTAAGACAAATATTTTTTTGTATGGAAACTATCGACATCTTGTAGCGGATGCCCCTAAACTTATACCATAATTAAACGCCTTAACTTTAACAACATAACTAAACACGGAAAAGAAAAAAAAAATCATATAAGTTATTATTTGAGACAAATTGATTAAATTTTATCAAGTTGTGGCTTCAGATTTTTTCCATATTTACAGTCTTTCATTAAAAATTAAATATAGGATAGGTAATAGGTTCCAGTAAACTTATTACCAGATGAATTATGAGCACCATTGATACATAAATATTATAGAAATTTCAAAATTAATGCAATTTACAAAATACTTGTTGGCTTTAATAGTGAGAAATGAGGCAAACGCCACAAGGAGACAAATGTTAAAAGTTGGTTTTTGTTTGTTGAAATCACTCTTCCTTTCGCCTTTTATCACCCTGATAAAGGGTGTCATTTTTTCTAGGATAATACTTTTCTGTTAATTTTTTTTTGGCAGATAATCTCTCTCTCTCTCTCTCTCTCTCTTTATCTGTGTGACTTATTTAATTATGTTAAGAATCGCTTCGTAGTTACAAAGATTGTTTTAGCATTTACAAACGGAATGAAATAAATAGTAGTCATAATTCTTAGCAGCAGCAACTCGGCAGTATTTCTAAGTACTCATGACGTTCATGGGCGAGGTTAAATAATTAATGTTCATTATTATTATTATTATTATAAATAAATATGATTTTCCATGAATTTTTATTTCAGGTTCCTGCTTAAGCTACGGACATTCATGTTGGGGAGGTGAGTTAAACTATTATATTATACTTTTTCATTTATCGCAATGAAATAATATTCTCTTGCTCTGACAATATCAAGAAATACATAATATTTCGTTACCTAGTCCGCAATTAAAAACTGAAGTCGACAACCCAACGTCCTCCAGTTTAAATACATTGCGTGCGATGCAAAAGCGGTGGGCGATTTTTTCTTTTGAAGCCAGTTGAGCCTAACCTTTCACCAAACCTAACACCACTTTTCATTATTCAATGGTACATAGTTATGTTGTAAATATAAATTTTATAGAAAAATACAGTAATATTTAAAACTTTTAAGTAATAGACATGACAGTAATTCTATTGTTGACATCTAAAATACGCTTTTATAGAAAATCCAACCAAAAAATAGAAAATAAATCTTTAAATTACAATTTTTTTTTTATTGCTCGGATGGATGGACAAGCTCACAGCCCACCTGGTGTTAAGTGGTTACTGGAGCCCATAGACATCTACCACGTAAATGCGCCACCCACCTCGAGATATAAGTTCTAAGGTCTCAGTAGGTATAGTTACAACGGCTACCCCACCCTTCGAACCGAAACGCATTACTGCTTCACGGCGGAAATAGGCGGGGTGATGAATTAAAAATAGTGTAAGAAAAAATGATTTTATTGTTAAAAAAAAAGCGTGCGCGTTTAATTCAAATTTATATAAAAGCGTATTTTTTTTTGTTTTTTTAAGCCATTATTTATTCGTTTTGAATTTAACCAGAGTTGTTTTGGCTCCGGATTCTAGTAAATTTTGAGTACACGTGAAGCTATTTCACGTTCATTGCTTTGACAAAAATATATGCAATACATTACAGCAAGACCATGATTTAAATGAACGTTAGCACTGGCTCATTAGCGAACAGTGACGTTTTATGTTTTGTAATCAAACATTAAAACCCCTAATCACTGATTCCTGTCCACGCGTCCACTCACACGTTTTTTTTACCTTTGACGGCTCATTTTATCTTTCATATTGCTCCCCATTTTATCTCTGAGCTTAGGGAATATTGCACAATAATGCGACATTATAATGTCATTGTTGTAAATATAGAAGTCTTATCAGTTGTAAGGATGAGTGGGTTTTTTATGTCTGGAAGCTAAACAATGACAGTTGTTAGTTCACAATTGCAATCACAATTACAAAGTGCTGCTTGAATTTTAAATACATTTGAATTTATTTTATAATATTAGATAATAGCTCGCTGACCCGGCAAACGTTTTTTTGTCATATAAATTATTTCTAGTAAAGATAAATAACCTATATACCGACTGCAACGCCATCTGCCGAGCTGATTTGTGAATCTAAACCATCCAGGGCACCACCCAAATGCATACAAAAAAAAACAGTCAAATCGGTCCAGCCGTTTAGGAGGAGTTCAGTGACAAACACACATACATAAGAAATATATATATGAAGAATAGCTGACCCGGCAGACTTCGTAGTGCCTTAATCGATGAACAAAAAACCTAAACTTTTGTATAAAATAAACTTAAAACAAACAAAAGGAATCCGTCCGACGGGGGACACATCAAAGGAAACACAAAATTGTTATTTTTATTTAATTCCGAGCATTTTCATATTTATATACCTTTTAAACCTTCTCTGGACTTCCACAAATAATTCAAGACCAAAATTAGCCAAATTGGTCCAGCCGTTCTCGAGTTTTAGCGAGACTAACGAACAGCAATTCATTTTTATATATATAGAAGAAGAAGAAGAATGAAGATAGATAAGCACTCATTGTATTCTAAGACTTAACCAACGTCGTTTTCTTTAGTCTTCTTCTCTTGAATGACCCTGACATCTCCGGATCCTGGATATAATTCTCGATGCGAAATTATTTCTTTTTAAAATACCCGATGTTGGAGCTGGGGTATATAAGAGTGTCTCACAAATGCTTCCGATATAAAAAAGGAGATCATTATTTTGGTTGCTGAATGCATTGAGCTTAAATTTAAGCTTCCCTTGCTGGCTCTTCTCGTATTTTATCATATCGCGGACAAAGTACTTCACGTATTTTGGAGTCCAAAAGTCTCGTCCAGAGTAATTCATTGCACCTACTCGTTTCAATTCGTCTAGTAACCTTTCGTTATGAATTATCTAAGTCTAATTGAGGTATCGATTTTCTAATTTGATCATAATATAGTTTTTGCAGTAAATCTGTCTCCACATGAAACTGAGACGTTCTAAAACAATTAGCTTGAAGAAATTAAAATTTAAAAAATGTTAATATGCATTTTTGGTCCTTCGATCCTAATGGACCTATTTTTAAGGATTAAGATGAACGTTCGCAACAGTAAACCCTAACTTGATAGCAAAAGCAAAATTAACCGCTTTTTAATTAATCTTTAGATTTAAAAATAATAATAATGTAGCGCATTTAAAATAAGCGAGAGCGGGGAGTCATTAACCTTATTTGTCGCGGGGCGATTGTCTTTGTTATACATTGCCGGTTATTAGGTACGAGGATGTTGAGATAAAAACAATACTAGATTATAATATTACACGGATAATGGAAACTCGGTGTTAACCTGGCATTTTCCATTTTAATATAGCATATTAATTTGATTCATTTAATATCAGCTGTCGTTTTAATCCATTAACGTCAGCCATGCCGATCTTAATTAGCGTTGTGTTAAATACGATTTTATCAACGAAATGGCGATCTGCGAGTTTGGACGGAAGTTCATTTTTTTTCTTTTTTTTTGTGGTTTTGATTTAAATTTCCGGAAAAATATAAGTTTTGTTACAAAGTTTGTTAAGGGTTGTTATATGGAATTATATCACTCCAAATGTAACAACGCGTTACAATCCGTTTGAAGGTTATGCAGAAATATAATAGTGACCGCAGTCCACTAGTGCAATATTCAGAAACTGCTGCTGCCCATTCTCCTGTGGATCCCTCTGTCGTATTTTACGATACCCACGGGAAGACATGGCGGTACTATTCCAGGCACTAAGCAATCAAAATTTCCCTAATATTAATCACACAGTGTCGGTAAAATATTATCAAAAAAATTAATTAAGCTTACCGGTAAGAGATCTTGTAAGTTCGGGCGAAAAAGTACCACAACCCTGCCTATATCTGCCGTGAAGCAGTAATGCGTTTCTGTTTAAAGGGTGCCCTAGTAACAGAAATCGACATAATTACTTCAGTGCACCGCGTAGAGCACTAGTGACCTACCTACATGGCAGTCAATGTGTATCATGTATGCTATAAATTTCTATTCACTATTTTCAGCTCACGGTAAACGTTCAAACAAGTCTCCGATCTCCGCTCCTGACTGGTATTTCAATAGAGTGCTTCGTCGTTTGGCCGCTAATGCTGAAATGGTAAGAAAATAATCTACAAAGCCTTTTAGAATCTAGTTTGATAATAGTAGTCAACAGATAATTACTTGGTTATAATATTGTTTTGTAAGCCTTTAGTTGTTTTAAATTATGAAATCATGTGCGGTTTTTGTTTTTAGTAAACTTTATCGAGTTATCCTTTTTGAGTCAGGGATCAATCAAGCATCTTCAATTCCGTGATAATATCTGAATTATATTTGAAAGTAATTGTAAATAAATATTTTTATCTTGTAACGTGCTATGTATACGTAAATTTGAAATTTCAATTTCATTTCAAATTATTTTATCACCATGGTGTCGATTTGTCAAGTTACAATTTTTTTTATTTACCTACGATTAAATACCATCTCTCTTTTGTTTAAAGAACTTCCAGAACCAAGATCAAGCGTTAAACTCAAACGACGATACTAACGCCATCTATCAGTACAACGTTGAAGACAATGTTCCCGGTTCAAACAGGCTGTTGTAAGTAGTTAATAGTTATTAAAACAAGATGGCACTAATCACTACGAATTTAAATTTCCAATAATGTATTTTCTTCTTTTATTTAAATATAAAATAAAAGTACCAATCTTAACATTTTTTTAGTTTATCGGTTTTAATTGATGAGTTTATGACAATTATTAAAAATATTTATAAAATAAATGTTAAGAGATTTAACTTTTTCCTTATTAGAGATAATAGATGGCGCCACAGACACTTTTTACCAGTATGTCATAAACCATTATTACCTAAATTATCGTATTCAGGCTGAGTAAATTTATTTTGTTACAGTTTTTTTTTTAATTTGTACCTATTATTATTTGGTCGTTTTAACAATTTTTTGTGTATTTAATCAATAAATTAAACGTTTACGAAAACATTTTCACATCAAAACAGTGTCGCTAAATATCAAAGACGGTAAAATAATCCAATCTAAGGTTACTAATTACAAATAAATATATATGTAGGATAAATTAAACTGTAAATCTAAATTAATGGTAGCCAATAGTAATGGCTGTATCGAGAAGTGAAAGCCTATTTGGTTTAAGCGACATTTTTGCAACTTTACAAGAGAGTCATTTAAAGTTTAAATTTCGGGAAACATATCATAACAAAAACCTTCTTTAGCTATTTTAATGGAGTAAACTTAATTGAAAGTAAATTATAAATATCGAACTGTTGATGCTAATACCAAATAAAACGTACCTTTGATTACAATGATAAATGTCGCTTAATACCTAAAAGAAATGACGCATACACGATATCGATATGTACTTACGTATTCTCGTACATACAAAGAAACATCCATACAAACATATAAACATATTCTCTGCTATAGCCTAACAATAATAAAATCTAATTTCCTTACAATTTCAGTACTGTTAGTGATGAAGGACCAGTCGAACTTCCATTGAGTCGCAGCCTTGAGGCAAAGCCAATGTTGGACGACAGCTTGCTCCCGAAATACAAGATCTGGCAATTAATGGTAAGTATAAGAAATGAAAAATCATACGTTTCCCGTTTTTTGAAGTGAAACTTCTTTAGGCGCGTTGCGAGTAATATTTAACTCGCGACAGATTCGTTACGGCTAGAGAGAAAAGATACAATTTAGGAAGAGTGAGAGTGAGAAAAGAGATAGAGCGTCTCGCGAACCGCGAACCGCTCGACCGTGGAGAGAGGGAAACGAAAAAGCGAGCTAGAAAGTTTCTCTTATACACTCTTATAAATAGCACTCCCTATTAAAAAGAATTTGATTGAAGGATAAAAATTAAGAAAACCACATTTCAACACGTCGCAAAAGATGTTTCAGTTCTTTCCACCACCATTTTTGGCGCACCATTTTTTTATTAGTTAATGCGTTTACAGGTTGACCCGAATGCCGTGATCAAAGATGAGTTTTGGGGCATAAGCATTTGTTTTATTACTGTCAAGGAGTTGAAGAGGTCACGGCTCACTTGCTACTCAACGGTTGCCGGAGCCTATAGACATCGCCACTCATCTTGAGACATCAGTGTACTTAGTGCGAGTTTTTTAACGTTCTCGACAGCGTAAAAGTTAGCTCATATTTTTGTATGGAATGGAATGCCTACGTTTACCGCTACGTTTACCGTTTGGGGCGCTGTTCCAACTGCATACAAAATTGGGCTAACTTTTACTCTATCGAGAACGTTAAAAAGCTCGTACTAAGCACACAGATCTAAATCTCAATTGAATTGTAAAGCGGCTGTTAAATCCTTCAAATCAGAACGTAATATGATAGGCCGGCTTGCGGCCCAATCCAATCTTATAAATCTCCATACTAACTCGACAAATGACGCTAAAAACTCCATTAACCCTTTTAGTGCTGAGCTTATTTTCACGTATTTTGCATAAATTGCTAAAGAATTATTGAAAAAAAAACCCAAAAAAAATGCTATATTTCACAGCAAAATAATTTGTGTAAAATGGTTATTTTTAAATGTTATCAAAATTTATTAGAAAGGTTATAACCCTAAGGAAGACACGTTCATACAGTTCGATACCTAAACTGAGCAATAGTCGGTTTTTTTTAATTTTTTTATTGCTTAGATCTGTGGACGAGCTCACAGCCCACCTGGTGTTAAGTGGTTACTGGAGCCCATAGACATCTACAACGTAAATGCACCACACACCTTGAGATATAGTTCTAAGATCTCAGTATAGTCACAACGGCTGCCCCACCCTTCAAACCGAAACGCATTACTGCTTCACGACAGAAATAGGCGGGACGGTGGTACCTACCCGTGCGGACTCACAAGAGGTCCTACCACCAGTAATACCGACGCTCCGCACTTTACATGTAATAAAAGAGAGTCGATCTATCGATAGTTCGCGCTTAAAGGGTTAATGAGCATAATAGACCTTCTATGCCTCACAATTGAACCAATGACGACTAAGCTTATTTTTCTATTACAGACCGGAACTCGAGACAATAAGTAAACTGCAAAACAGCGGATAAATACATCGTTAATTGTTGATTTCATCTATAAATATAATTTATCAATCAAATTTTATTTATGTTAATTTAATACTCTTCAAAGTTGTTTAGCTCGATCACGGATCGCGAGGCTGGGTTGCGACCGGTGATACACATTTTAAATAGTTCTAAGATATAACGTGCCATTGTGTAAACATATATAAAATTGAATGTATTGTTTTCTTGGTTCTTTATTGTGCATCCTCTTCGTCCGCATCTGTCTATCCTTATCTAAAAGTTGCTTTGAAACAACCTGTAGCAATGTTGTGAGATTCAGTCATCGTTCTCGTCGAACCCGTCGCTTGCGACGAAGGGCTCGGCGAGCTAATTAACCCTCAGACACAGCCCACTGAGTTTCTTGCCGAATCTTCTCAGTGGGTTGCGTTTCGGATCCGGTGGTAGATTCTGCGAAACTCTGCTCTTGCTAGGGTTGGCGTTAGCAATTCCGTCAGGTTTGAGCCCCGTGAGCTCATCTACTTGTTAAGGTTACCCTAAAATGGTCTCACAAGACCATCAGTTTAGGAAAGAAATAAAATAGTGAGATAACTTAGCTGATTACTTAGTCACTATCAAATTTTTTGACGAGAGTGAAAAAGGAACGAAATGTGTTTTTTTATTTTTAATTGCTTAGATGGGTGAACGATCTTACAACCCACCTGGTGTTAAGTGGTTACTGGAGCCCATAGACATCGACAAAGTAAATATGCCACCAACTTTGAGATATAAGTTCTAAAGTCTCAAGTATAGTTACAACGGTTGCCCCACCCTTCAAACCGAAACGCATTAGTGCTTCACGGCAGAAATAGGCAGGGTGGTGGTACTTACCCGCGCAGACTAACAAGAGGTCCTACCACCAGTAATTACGCAAATTATAATTTTGCGATAATGGACGATTATAAAAAAAGAAACACAATAACATTCGCATAATTCATAAAAATTCTTACAAGGGATATTAGTATAAATTTAACATTCCTTTTTATTTCTATCATAAAACATAATTATGGTAATTGAACAAAGATAAGCAGTAAGTATATTTTTGTTCGGGAACAAAATGTAATATTTCGGGCCGTGTTTGCCAAAGCCCAAAGATGTTGTAGCTACGTGAATTTCGCTTTGAGACACGAGTTCTTAATTGTATTGCTTACTCGCTGATAAACCTTCGCACCGGACCTCATGATTGTTTCAGGGCAGAAATAGAGAGGATATTTCTACTTATCCGTGCAGGATTACACTACTAATAGGTGTCTAAACTTTATAAATTACGCTCTTATTTAATATATGACCTGCCTATCTTCCTTAAAGAGTTAGTCTGGCTTCACCCTTATTGGCGGCCATGCTCGCGGGACTCGACCTAAAAGAATTTGCTGACTTCTGCCCTAGCAAGAGTTGTGCTTCGCTGAATCTACCTCCAGATCGAAATCGCGGCTCCCTGACAAGATTCGGCGAAAATTTCAGTGGTTCGTATCTGTGGCTGGATACAATTTTACGTAGAACTCTTCGTCGCATTCGACTAGTTCGACGAGAACGGTGACCGGTGCTTGGAATGTCTAAAAGCACCGGAAGTAGATCGAATGAATCTGAAATGACATGTTTAAGGCAAGACATGGAGCATGCATTTTAAGGCGACCACGATATATTAAGCTTCAGGCTAATCCGGGATATTAAATTTCGTTTTTCCTATTTTTATAATTACGGACTTCCATACAATTATTGATACGTTATTTTATTTCCCTAGGCAGTGAATATTTAAAAAACCTTCCTTTTAATCAGCCCGCTACTGATGCTTACTTCCATTGCAATATTGTAACACGCTACAGTTTGTGATAGCTATTAGGTATCCAATTTACCTTAAGTAATAAACTTGTCTCAAATCTATGAATTTCACAAATATGTAACGAAGATAGTAGCGAATTATAGATCTCTTCTAGCCCAGTGAAACACACACAAACCTTGATCCGACAATCACAAACACATTGACAATGGAATCATTCAAATAGGTCGTTGAGCCCTCCTCAATTGTTCCTCTTTTAGACCTAAGAAAATTAATCTTTATTTATACATAAGATTTACTGGTGTTAGGACGTCTTGTGAGTCTGCACGGGTAGGTAGCACCATCCTACCTATTTCTGCCGTGCAGCATCTGGCGGCGCTTACGCTATTAATGTTTATGGGCTCCGGTAACCACTTAAGACCAGGTGGGCCGTGAGCTCGTCCACCCATCTTAGCAATAAATAATAACTGTAAATAGACTTGCTTTAACAAAAACGCTTTAACAAAAACCGACTTCAAATAGAAAAAAATATATTATTATATTCTAAAACAAATTAGGATACACTAAAAACAATAATCATCGAAATCGGCTGGGTTGGTGTGATATTGAGTTATTGAGTTAATCATCTATTTGTCGCGCACGTACTTAATGCAAACTTAAGACTTATATGGTTTTGTCATGGATACCATTATCAGAACTGGACTAAATTGAAATGGGACACACGGGAAGCGTCAGCTTTCTAATAAAAAAGAATCATCAAAATCGATTGACGCAGTCAAAAGTTATGAGGTAACAAACATAAAAAAGCATACTCGAATTGAGAACCTCTTCCTTTTTTGAAGTCGTTTAAAAACATAATTAATAATTTTTATTCGAGGTCTTTAATTAACATAATTTATGTTATAAAACTTACAAAACAAATGTTATCTGATTAATTGAGTGAATAATTTAGCGGGTCTTTGTTAAAGTGAAACATTTCACTAAAAAAACGTAAACCCTATCTATTTCTAAGCTTACTAGAGGTCAAGCTCTCGATAAGATCTCTTCACGTAAAAGTTTTTCGCTAAAAGCGTTACAGTATCAACCCATCAAAGAGGCATACGCTAATCGTTCTAAGCTATAACAATGTCTATAGTAATTTGGTGCAAGTCAGAAGCTTTGTTTTTTATACTTTTATTGTCCATCTGCAGCCTTCAAAAGGTGGGGCCAACAATTATCTATTCTTTCGTTCCATGACCTCTTGCTATTAGCAACTGTTACTGTTGCACACCAAAAGACTTTTGTAGTTATATCCCGCTTGTTTACGGATTTTTTCTCACAAATAGGCTAATTAGAAACACAGCTAACCCAAGCAAAGCTAACTTAACCACGGCTAACCTAGAAGATTGCACAAAGTGGGAATGAGTTGCTCGCTCCAGGCATTTCAATATTGCAATAATTGTTACGTTATAATACTAATTGTAAAAATGAATATTTAAAAAAATATAATTAATATTTAAAAAAAAAGACATGCCCGCTGAATTTCTTTCCAGTTCTTCTCAGCACGGAGGTTAGTTTTTGTGAATTGGCGGTAGTTCTTTTTGACGTTCAACAAGTATGTACCTACTTTCATTTATGTTGAATAAATTTTTTTGATTTGATTTTGATTTGATTTCATTTGAATTTTTGAATTTTTGAAACATAAATTGAAGTTCAAACTTAACTTTATAACTATACTGAGACCTTAGAACTTATATCTCAAGGTGGGCGGCGGCATTTACGTTGTAGATGTCTATGGGCTATGAGCTGTGAGCTCGTCCAACCTCTTATGCAATAAAAAAATAAAAATAAAAAGTCTAAATCTTATAAAGAAATCGTAGGCAGCGACTTGACTGTACCATGGTATTCTGACGTCCACGAGCGAAGGTGACCTCTCACCATCAGGTCTACCGTATGGTTTACTTTGTCTATAGTGACTTTTTTTTTAAAGATTTAAAATTTGCCTCATTCCATATTTTTTAGTATCATTTCATTACAATAAACACAATCAAGTTTAGCCCGTGTATTGCACCAGATCCGAGGTTGCAGATGAAAAACATTTACTTACTCTTACTTCTAAATTGTAACATATAACAGACATTTCTGCCTAACAGATAGATTGTAATAATTGTGTAATTTATACGGGGCTTATTGTGAATATTCCTGAAAAACAAGACATGAATTGTTCTGCCTCCTAAAAGAAGCAGATCCAATAAGTGTGATGAAGTTTTTTGTTTTCAATTCAATGTTATGAAATCGGGGGCATGCGAAATGTTACAGTTCCAAAGTTTAAATGAACAAAAATAATAAAAATTAATCACAATAACCGAAAAATGGTTACAGCTTGACCAAATTTCTATTTTTTTCTTAAATGGCCATAATTTCCAAACTGCATGGGATAGATTTTTTTTCTGATTTTTCTCATGATGGTTACAATCAATCCTGTCACCAGGTTTCGGCTTGACGTTTAGTTCTGGGACACCTTGTGTATACATAGCAAACAAACAGTGTAAGAACAAACAAACCTGTTCATTACACGAATGTTTGTTGTGGGAATCGAACCTACGACCGTAGACGCAACAGTCGGGAACTCTACCTACTGCAATACAAAGTGACCAATGATGAATTTTGTTCATCCTTTGCTTAGACAATACTATAGAGACTAAACAGTCGACGTCGCCCAAAGCACGTCATTACGGATCCTCCCAATCCATTAACGGTGCTTTTAGATACCACAAGCAC